TGACTGAAGAATAAGTCTATGAAGTTCGTTTAGCAAAATCGTTAATAGATTACTTATTAMAAATTATCAAGTGTACTTTCATTTTTGTTCATTTTTGTGTGTAAAAATTCATCAAGTGCATCAAGCTTTATAGTAGCTTATTCTCGATTTAAAATTCGTGATTTTTCAGTGAATTTGAACGATTATAATGAAACAACAAGCGTGACATAGGAGAGGTCCTTAAAGAGACAATATGGATTTTCATTATGTAACAACATTTTCAGTGTATGATATTTTTATGAACAATAGACCGCCAGGGGCCAATTGCTATAGGAACGGCATTTACTCCTCTTGGTGCTATTTTAATTAGATTTTCCCACCATTCTCCTCGCGCGCTTATTCAAAACTCAGATATATGTTTGCTATCAYTTGAAGGAATGCTCCTCGATGCAAGAAACAATTTATTATGAGCTATATTTAACAAGAATTATTCGCCGAAGGCGAAGTGATTATCAATGAATATTTATGTGGCGGGGATTGAAGATGGCGGTCGAGGGACGCTCGGATTGACAATAATTTGTAATAATTGCCATCTTTCTTCCTTATGGACACGTAAAACTTTGATAGACACTTGTTTAATTCACTTGTATCCATGTTTTCAAAGCTGACAGTGAATTCAGACTGTTGTTGAAACCATTCTGTCAAAAAATGCATCGAGTAAATTGTAAACAAACCAGGCGAAAACCTACAAATTTCAGCCTTTTTGACGTATAACGATAGATAAAAAAGTAGTTTTAGACAATGTTTTTATTATCAAATAAACAAAAATTACCTGTAAAAGGTTTAATCCATTTTTTAAATACAATTGTTTAATCCAACGACTCGCGGACGACGCCATTTTGCGAAAAAATCCAATATTCACCGATAGGTGAACATCGCTCCTTGAAACGTCAAATTCGACCAATCAGCGCGCTAGAATTATGATATTCACTTATGAAATTATACTAAAAAGAAATATAGGTCACTACATTAGTTTTTGAGCAGTATAGCACGCGAAATGGTTGAATTATTTTCTTCTAAAAGTAGCTTAGCGCGCTGGAAACGCTAGCTGGCGCGCGGACTCTTGCAGGTAGCGCAGTAAGAGCGTTGGAAATTGCAATAATGTGGAATGGCCTGGAGTCATATTTATATTGTAGTGCATGGGTACGTTATTTGCTTTCTATGTCCATAGGCGGAAATGGCTGCAGGAATCTTATCTTTCTACCATGCATACAAGACAAGACTTTGAGACGTGAAGCAATCTCGCGCCTAGACATACCAGCAAATGACCAGGGAATAGATGAATGCCAGACCAGATGTTTTTTTGAAAAGAAATGT